CTTTTTGTAAATGTCAGTGTCATTAGAACGTAGGTGTATAAAAGGGTTTAGCTCAGTCCATTATCCACAATAATGACAGTAGGGAGCCTTTTCTCCACCCTTGTTCCTCCCCATTACATATATTAATTAGCATGACACATCACGAGTAAGCGAGTAATTTTTATTTATGTACAGACTGGTGGAGCCCAATACAGCAGAGGGCGCTCTAGAGTGCCTCTGTCTTCAGACTTAAAAAGAAGCAAGAATCACGGTTCAGGTGTGATGAGGACATTTTTTTTACCGTGCCATATGTTACAGCTGCAATACTATGTTTTTTGGTTATATTTTTAAATGGATTGGCATTTCCAACTGGACACTTCAGATTCACGTTCCAATTTATTGCCAAATCGGTACCACACAGACAGAATCACAAAGCGTACTACAATCGTTTAAGGCATTTTTCTCTCGCTCCACACAGTAATGGAAGCAGGGTTGCTAGACGGAACTATCGTACATGTTTTTAGTGGAAACCTGTGCAGTCATGGGGAGAACATGCAAACTAACTAACTCTCTGGTATTCCATCAATTCTTGTATAGTCCTAAATTACAACAGAAGTTATCTCAGAAGACAATTCAAACCTGTGGAATTTGACAACACAGATCTGTTCAAATGATTAAAAAAAACACATAGAGCCATTGGTCCATAAGGGGCAGATGACCACTTTACAGATCTTTAATGTCCATAAATGTTGTTGAATGTTGTGGATCACTGTCCTTAAAACCTCCTCGGCAAGGATAAACGTGAATAAAAAACCCCAGTGGGAAAAAGTGAGAAACCTCAGGGCTGAATGCTTAATAAAGGATTCCAATGGGGTCGGTACAGTGAAAAATCATGATCCTGCAGTGAAAAAACTTGTGTAAAACTGTCAGAATGTGGTTTTAAACTGCAAAAAGCTAATACATTTATATTTTTTGTAAAGACCAGTTTGTGTTTATTTCCTGACGTAAAGAACTTCTGACTTGTTTGATTTTTGGGCGTGGCGTTCTTGGATCCTACCTTTGTGATTAAACTTGAACTAATAGTTACTTGAAAAGTAAACAATTTAAAATACGAATAATTAGTATTTTCAGTTTCCAGATCAATTCTTTCAATGTGGGTTATGTTGGATGAATTGTGCTTCATAAATAAATATGACTCATTGATTGAAGACCTTTGCCAATGTCTGCATGAACTGGTCTTTAAACATAATATGTTTGTGAAAGTGTGTAGCGCCTTAAATGTGACCACCAAGAGAAGAGTAATGGTTGATTTGAACTGGTTGGAGCTGGTTTGTGAACCGACAGAGCACTATTGTGAGTGTCAGCAGACGCTGGCCATGTTCAGACCCTGATGGCACGCAGACCGCTGCTACTGTTTGGAGGCAGAGGACAGCGCAGTTCACAGGGACATGTTTTTGCCCAAGGCCAGTGTAATGACGTGAGGCCGAGCAGATGCACCATGTGCCTCCAGCCCAGTCTCTGACAGGACCAGGAAAAGATGGCAAGTCCCTCCACAGACACCATGAAAGCATGATCTGAAACCGCACCTCAATGCATTTTTTGTGTAGTGACTTAAAATGATGTAATATGTTTATAAAAACATATTACCATATTACATGTAACATATTACATATATTAAAAACATATTATGTTTATAAAAACATATTCCCACCTTTGCACCTTCTCCATCGACTCCCACTGATGACTGCTGTTGTTGTGTCCTTGGGCAAGACACTTAACCCCACTTTGCCCAAAAGCCTCCACTGAAAGATCAAGGCTATGCTCACACTCAGAGAGCAGCCGTCCTCCTGTGGACTCACCACCTGCAGAGGGTCAGTGAGGGGCTGGTGCTATGAGACTTGGGTGGCATCTCTGACTGCCACCCCCCTGACCCAGAAATGGATTAAAGGGTAGAAAATGGATGGATGGATGGATATAAAAACTGCACTATTGCTTTAATATGTTTACTTTATTAAAGCAATACAGCGACAATAGCTCAGTTGGTAGAGCATTGGCCTTTGGGCCTGAAGGTTGTGGGTTCAAGCCCACCATAAGACCTACTTCACGACTCCCACTGATGTCTGCTGTCGTTGTGTCCTTGGGCAAGACACTTAACCCCACTTTGCCTGAAGCTCCCACTGAAAGATCTCAGCTCCTGTGGACTCACCACCTGCAGGAGGATCAGTGAGGGGCTGGTGCTAAGTGTACTGGGTGCAGCTCTGACTGCCACCCCCCCCCGACCCAGAAATGGATTAAGGGGAAGAAAATGGATGGATGGATATTTACTTATAAGCTTCCTTTGAAGATGATTATATTCTTGGTCATAACCACAAATAATGATCATTCATCCAAACGTATACACTCATATCCCCATGTTTTGGATACTTTTCTGATCAGCCAAGTGATAAAACCATGTAGTTGCATACATTGTGGTGAGAACCGCTCAAAGAAAGTATGATGTACCAATAAGTTAAGCCTTTCATTCACTCAGTCGTCATCTTGATTCATGTGATCCACACTTTGTGCAACTGCCTGCTACAGATTGTTTGGAAAGGTGTAAAGCTTTCCTCTATTAATCTGTCTCATAAAAATATCCAAAAATATTCTCAATTGGGTTTAGGTCAGGTGTGCAGGGGGTTTAAAGACACTGGCTTCTTTCATGGCCACTATATGAAGGAGATACTGTGAGCACATGTGTGCTGTGTTTCCATGCCCATGTTCATTATTTGCAGCAGTTATACCAGTCCTTGCTGGTATCAGAGTCAGAGTGGAGGATTATGATCGTTGCGTGTCCAGCCACAAGCTCATCCATCCATCCATCCATCCATCCATCCATCCTATCAGCAGTGACGCGGCGAGCTTCATGGTTGGTGAGGCACTGACTTCATCACAGTCACATTTACATCCACATGACCTACAGAGCGGATTATTCACATGTTTGGCAACATATGTCTCATGTCAGCAGTCTCTACTCCTACAAAAACAAACATGTGTAAAAAAGCTCATTTAAAAGTGTTTTATGAAGTCAGAACAGTTTCATTTTTAAATAAAGCGTAAATTATAGTTTGAGTTTTGAATTAATAACAAACAGGTGACTCCTCTTGTGTATGCATTTGATTTGATAATAAACCGTCTTATCCTTAACTTCTCATTCTTGTGCCACTTATATATTTATAAACATAATAAAGGATAATAAAAAATAAATAAAAAAGGCTGGGTTACAATAAAATATTTTTGTGTTTAATATAATAATCAGAGAAAACGGTACAATGGCAGTGAGCAGTGAGCATCTGAGTGAGGCTGGGCTGGCTCCTGCCTCACTGTGCGTCGCTTTGTTAAATACGAGAACAATATGAGAACATTCAGTGATTTTGAGATGCATTTGTACAAATCACTCTGTAAATATGAATTATAATAAATATGTATTATTGTTTCTCTTGTATTTTTTTTTCTTCTTCATTCCTGAGTCAGTGCCTCCCTTGACTCCATTAATTGTCAGTCCATAAAACCTAAAAAAACCTGTCTTTGCATAATTCCAAGTCCATTCTACAAGAATTTTTGGGCATCTTTTAACTCATTCCTGTTAGATTGACTGAATATTATATACTGTATGTTTGTATGACACCACCTGTCAAGTTTCCCATCGCCTCCACACGAGCGTCTCTCACCTTGCTTCTTGATGTTATTTGTTTTTGTAACAGAATTACTTAAAACAAATGCATCCTGTCAAGTGAGACTATGATGAACAGCTGCGGGCATCCTTTGTGACAATACAAAATGACTTTTTATTTTTAAATATAGCCTTGCAGCAAACAGATGCACACATATTCTCTCTGAGGGAAAGTGGATCAGAAAACCAATCCAACACATCCCAAATGTGTTAATAATAGGTGTGTCAATAATAGTAATATAGATTATGTTTCATAAAGCATGGTATTTTTCATCACTCCATTCACTGTGGTGATAAACTACTACTGTAGCCACATTTGTCCTGGGCAGACTCACAGAAGCAACGCAGCCAGTATGTGCCATTGGCCCCTCCACGCACCACCCACCATTCACACACACACCAGACTCATTCTCTGCAATGTGGATGTCTTGCATAGGAATACAACAACAGTTCGGCACTTTGTAGCCGCAGCTGCCCCACTGTGGCACCTGGTGTTCCCAAAGGTCTCCCATCACAGCACTAACCAGGCCCTGCCCTGTTTAGCTTCAGAGTTCTGATGGGTTCTGGATTTCACCTGCAAGTGGTACAAATAGAAGGCCACCTCTGTTTTTCTATTGCAATTTACATAATCATTATTATTGTTATGAGACTTATTAAAAGATTCCAAATAGCCGTTAGCTTAAAACAGAGGTGGAGGGCAGCTAACACATATGTCCTTGTAACTGTGGTCATTGTGAAAAGTCCTGCTTTTAGTCCTACTTTTAGTCCTAGTTTATAAATCCTTTCCCTTTAATTCATGGGCGAAAGTTCTACATTTTCTTTATTGCTACATATCAAGTATATTCTCATTATTTTAGCGTGTGGAAAAAAATTATACTGACCCGTTGAAAGGACTTTAAGACACACAATTAAAATGGCTTTTGTGAATCAAATAAGTATCAAATAATAATTAGGGAACACATTTGAATATTTTCTTTGTCCCCATCTTTGTTCCCATTGAGTCGTACTGACACCTGCACAATTCTTTACCACAAATGCAACATATTGAATTAAATTGTGCAGTATCTGATGTTAACAGCTTATTTAGATGGCTATGTTCCTTTGAGTCTCACAGTGTCTGGCCTTTCCCCTGATTCTTCTGTCCGTGACTCAATAGCAGTGTGAAGTCTGAGCTATTGAGTCGAGCCCTATTAAAACCATACAATGTTTTTAACCCAGGCAGGAGCTGTGGTCAAACCGTATATATGCCGTACAAGCAGGAGCCTATTCATCCCATGTGATTGATATAAAGAGAGTGTATAGAGCCACTGACCTCTGCCGCACTGCTCATGCTATCGTGCTCCTCACTCGCCCGCACTAACAGCAAGTAGCGGTGCTGGTCACTCTCGTAATCAATAGGGCGGGTCAGGCTGATTTCCCCCGTCTCCGTGGCAATGGAGAACAGACTGCTGGGATTGATAAGGAGGCTGTAGACGATTGGTTTCTTCTGGAAGGACACGGCAGGTGTGACCAGGAAGCTGAAGATGGAAGGAGAGAAAAAAGACAGAGAGATATTTTTTTTTTTTTCAATTCAAGTGAGTAACGGCCAAAGCATTCGTCGAGTACATGATTTTACAGCAAAAAAAAATGGATTGAGTTGGAATATATTATAGAAATTCTGCAAGCATTTTCTGCAAATAGTAATGTATGATCTTTCTGAACCATATTGAAATGCAGCTCATTGTTGAGAGTTGGAAGAGTAACAAGGTCAAGCGTGTTTGTACAGGGTAGGACTATAACTTAGTAAAGATGTCATAGTGTAGTGATTGTTGCAAACAGGGGGTATAGAGTTTATATTGTGTATAGCCTGTTTGAAATTCACAAATGGCATACTGTATACCCTTTTTCTTACAATCTAATTTGAATTCAAATGCAATTCTCATATTTTTACCATCAATTATTTAAAAAGATGTTCCATCTCATATGCACTAATGCTCAAGGCGAGTGGGCCATAGTATAACAAAAGAATGGCCATGGGCTTGGAAGCAGAGAGAATATTTATGAGCAAAAATATTGAGTATTACTCAGTTGGAGTTACAATGATAAAACTCCATATGCAGACAACAATTGTCGAAGTCAATTCTTACATTTGTTTTCAAAGATTAGAATCTGATCAGATGTTAATTCTTTCTCATATTCGAACATTTCAGTCTCTGTTGTAGCGTGCGAGCAGGGGCCTCGTCTGCGTATCAAGGATTGCTAATTTGATCAAATGCAAACAGTATGTGAGCTGTGTTAAATCTAGAGTATGAAGGGGAGGGCAGGGAAAGCCTGTATGATGTAAATACTTATTATAATGTATGCAGAATGTTTTTTCACCGCAAGAGCCTTGCATGCATTTGACGCTAGCCGCAGCATTAGCCGAGCATTGGCCAAGCATTAGCTAGTGTGATTACACTGGTCCCTCTCTTTCACCCAATCCGATACTTGCCAATTCAAAAATACATAAATACGCGCTTACAAAACATGGTGAAACTTACGTCTGTCCCTCTGGTGTGTTTTCTGGTAAAGCAATGATGAAGGAGGCGTTGGTGAACTGAGGAGGTCTTTCTCCTGCCACCACAGACACCACCACCGGGACACTGCGACTGCCCAGGTGGTCCGCCGCCACCACGGTCAGGAGGTACTCCCGGTCCCTCTGAAGGGGCAGTCCGGTGGTTCGTACGTGCCCACTCTTCCTGTCCACCTCAAACCGGCCATCTCCACCTGCACAGTGGGAACAAGAAAACAGAGGAGAAAAGTCAATTACTACACTCTGGAGCAATTTTCAGTGATTTTCATTTGTGTATGGACTTCTTGATTTCATATTCAGATTCAGATTCATTTATTTGCCATTTGCAGTAAAACCACATTGGAATTCATTAGCAAAAGTTCCCAGTGTGTACAGACATGAAAAAAGTACAGACATAAAAAAACAATAAAAGTACAGAAAAATAACAAACAAATAAAACAGTAAAAAAATTGTCACTGTGAAATCGATCGGCTAAAACAATTTCAATACAAAGTGCAAGATCATTAAAGTGCTCTGTTCAAACTTATGACAGCTTGTCGGAAGAAGCTGTTAGCATATCGAGATGTCCTGCATCTCAGAGAACGATATCTTCTGTCAGAAGGAAGAAGCTGGAACAAGGCTTTTCCAGGGTGGCCAGAAGAGTCATTGATCATTCTAGGAGCTTTGTTTAAAAGTCTGGATTTATAAAGAACCTCCAGAACAGGAAGCTCACAGCCCACAGTCCTCTTTGCAGAGCGGAGCACCTTGTTTAGAGCTCTCCTTTCTTTGTCTGTGAGAGCTCTCACTGCGGCCCTCTGACTCGGCGTCATCTTGGTAAGCGGGAGGATTTTGACTCCATCGATGTTTACCGTAGCGCTTTGATCATCCCATGTGCAGTTTAAACAGTTGTCTATTTTATAATGAGTTTTTGATTAAATGTTAGATTACAACGTTAAAACCTGCCCTTATATTGACATGCAGCCTATATACGGACAAAATGTACTTTCTGTCAAAATGTAGAATGTGTGGTTTATATCCGGTTGTGCTCAATAGTCCAGCAAGTACAATTTAATTTCCATTCTTTTTTTTTTACAGCCTAAAAGAGTTAGGCTGATGTTTAGTATACATGGATAGGCATGAATAGACGAATGCCTACGCAACCCAGAATAAAAATCAGAATAACTGGATGTTGTGCCATAATTTCAGATTCCACATTGCTACTGCAACCCCCACCCGCCTCTGTCCCACTACCCCCACTTTGGGAACCTCTAGTCTTGTGAAGCCTTGTCAGTCAAAGCACCATTCAACACCCTGCAGACGCCACACTTTCACTTCCACCTCTTCTCCGAATTCACACAGCACGAGTCGAGAGTAACTTAAAAATAAATACCCGGTAGAGCGGTGACTCAAAAGTAACAACCTGCAGAGAAAAGTCTCCCAAACGAGATCAACAAACAAGGACTGCGTCTGTGAATCTGTGAAGCTATAACGAGGCATGCTAAAGCTAAGATAGCATCCCCCGTGCATGAGCTAGCTGTGCCGGTTGTTTGTGTTTTATCAGGCACACAGAGAATCTCTGGGTTCACGTTGAGATGATGTTGAAGACTAAAATGGAGAATAGCAGGATACAGGAGGAAAAATGCACGGTAAGTACTCATGCCTTCAAGAGCCGTCAGCCCCTGCCGTGTCAGGAAAGTGGACTTTTGTGTTGTCTTTAGGCATGGACAGAGCTCAGATGGAGATTATGCTTCATGACACACCTTTAAACTGTTACGCCGAAAAACAAATCCAAGTGAAACTATCAACAAAGAATAAGTTAATTGATTGATCACATTAAAATAGTTGTCCACAGCATTTATCTATTTGTTTGTGAGAAAGATGGGTGGATTTGGACAAACTTTTCAGTTAGCAATTCCAATTTAGAGCGGATCTGAATCCTTTTTTTGGTTCAAGGGCTAGAACTGCACCTTTTGGGGGAGATTGATAAATACCTACGATGAATTAAACAACCCAACAACAAGTCAACTCCATGAAGATGTTCTCAAGGGGCATCACTTAAGCTTGGTTTAGGTCAAATGTATAAACAATTCTATATATACTGACAAAAAGATGGATTCAGCAAATTAATAAGAAGGCCCATGAATAAACTATCAAAAATAATCTCACATTACAGCCCTAATTTCTAGTTCTTTCAAAGGACAAGTCTCAACCAAGAAAGGATCTGTTGCTTTCGCCCCAAATCATGATCATCATTTCTTTGTATTATTAAACATACAGTATGTTACAATTATGGTTCTGTAGAAGGCAATGGACAAATGTTCCATCCAACCATTTTCTTCCTCCACAAAATAAATCACATTTCGACAAAATGTGTGGTTACACATTATTTTATTGGTATGAGTGAACTTGTCATTAAATATCATAATGAAACTGAAGTGAAAGGGGCAAATGAAAGGGTTGGATTCACTAATGTAACTTCTTCTCGACTTTTTCTCAATGACTCTCTAGAGCCACGGTAAAAGCTGTGATTAACGTTTTTTTACCCACAAAAGCATCAATTGAGAGCACTAAAAAGTCTAGACAGCGACATCAATGTTTATAATTTGTTGTAATTTCTTTTAGTCAATTCGTTTTCATTTTTTGTTATCACGGAGGGAGAAAGTGAAAGCCTCTCTCTCGTAGGTAATAGTTTATAACAGACTGTAAAAAACGGCCAGGAGAAATCATTACATGGCAGACAATAAGAAAAGCAATTATTTTGGTAGAGAAGGGAATTACATTATCCAGAAAAAAAATAACTGCGTGCATTAAATACTTATTGGTGGAGTGGAGGCTTTCGGCTGCAAGTGAGAGGCAATGTGAAGGAATTCAGCGGCTCTTTTGGAATGAAAACATAATCCATCAAGGGCAAGTTGTTGAAAATTGCATTGCTTTCAGTAAACAAATATATACCCATGGACATAAAGACATATTGCAAGAGTGCGGATTTAGTAGCAACAAGACAGACCTTTCAAGGCACTTCAAAGAGGGAATAGAAGTGTGTTTTTTTATTGTAAAGAGTTTGTGATCATGAATAGTTGAAGGTTATTACTTTGGAACACTTATCGACACAAATTGCATTCTAGTTATTTTTTTTTCCTTTTGACCTGTATAACAGAGGTTTGAGTTTCATCAGAAAATATACAGACCTTGAAACCAGTATTACAAAAACAAGGTATTTTATTACATCTAGTTTGTAATAATTAAAAAAAATATATCAAAATGGGTGTGAAAGTGTATTTTCTTACTTTGATGGAAAAAAAATAGTACCTTTTCAGTTCAGGGTCAGTGGGTATTACTGGCATCCCTACAGTTATAGTTATAGTTATTCATACTGACAGGCTAAACTTTGGCCCCCAAAGTGTATTGAAACAGCTCTTCTGTGGATTGGATTCAGTTGTAGCCTGGCCTCAGCCATCCGTACACTCCGCTCAATTATCACTTCCCTGCATGTAACGTCTACGTCTGGTCCCCGTGTTAGCGATTACAATTGGTTGAATTCCATCCGACCAATCAGAGAGCGCGGGAGGCAGGTGTTGTAGTTAGTTGTGGGTGACGTCAAGAGTTGGCGTCGAACGGGCAGGTTGTAGTTTGGCAATGACGAAAAATGCGATTATAAAGTAATTTGGTCTGGTTCTATCAAGAAATTGAAGTTGGAGCAAGAGGAATGTTTAGTAAATGTAATCGCTGGCAAAAATTGTGGCACTACTCCCCACGGGCTCCGTTAGCGGCACACTACATACGTGACGGTAAACTCTGATCCAATCTGCAACAGGAATTAACCCCTCCCACCTGTTAACAGAGCTCAATGGAGCACCTCCAGACCCTAGCACCAAATTTAATTTGTACTATGGTGTGGTACGACCAGGCTAATTCAGTTCTGTTGTGCACCGTACTTAATACAACTGTATATCATTGTCCTATTGCTTTTGCTATAATCTCAGGTTTGACTTAAAAGACAGATATATCTGGGTAACCAATTATTGACTGCCAAGGAACACATACAAAAACTATTACACATTTAAATGACAATAAAAGACACATTATTTTCTCATTTCAAGGGAGACCTTTCTTTTATCTTTTTAAAACAAGCTAGTAAGTAAGTAAGTAAGTAAGTAAGTTTTTATTTATATACCACCTTTTCACTGCAGATCTGAGTCTCAAAGCGGTTTACAATTGTTAATTTTGGGCATTTGTCTCTCACTCCACACAGAGATGGGAGCGGGGTCGCCAGTACAGGAGGCATATGCCAGAACTATTGGACATATTTTTAGTGGTAGGGGAAACCGGAGTACCCGGAGGAAACCTACGCAGACACGGGGAGAACATGCAAACTCCACTCAGAAAGGCCCTGGTCCGACCGGGATTCGAACCCAGGACCTTCTTGCTGAGAGGCGAGAGTGCTATCCACTCAGCCACCGTGCCGCCCCAGCTAATGTTGTTTGGCCCATTGGCAAATCTTGTTTTAAAATGTGCTCAAATTAAGATACATTTTGGAGAGCTTGAGCCACTGTTGTTGTTTTTCATCACTTTTTGCAGGCCAATCTTCCTTTCTCGATACCAGACCCCGATAATTGCTCGCCGTGTTTACTTGCGTCATCAGTCCTACAGCTTGTGCTCCGGTGTGCAGTGACTTGTAGCCCTCCACGTGTCTGTCTGTGCTCCTGAGTCTATCTCCGGCTCCTGTGTTCCGCCTCCACTGCACTGTTGTATCTGTATCTCCCTTTTCACGCTGCGCACATGTCAACCTCCATCCCCATGAACTCTGCACTGAACTCTGCTCACCCAAAAAACCCTCCCAACCGTAGGAGCTGCCTGTCAGACTGCATCGCCCTGACTCTTTCCACTGTCTAGAACTGCACTGAGCCCTGGTACCTGCTGTGTGCCCTGGAACAACGGACTATGACTTCATCGCCCCATCATAGGTCATGTAAGGTAGAAGTGGGTGGTTGGGCTTGTGAGAAATGTTGTAATTAAATGTTTTCATATCAATGTGTCTGGCTCCAGAATAATCATTTTAACATATATCCCAAAATAAAGTCTGCTTTAATTTACTAAAGGGAGGCAGTAGAAACTATTATTTCTCTACACTCTTACAGTGGATGTTATATTTGTCCTTAGTTCAGGTACTGTACCTGTACTCCTGGCCTGTCTGGAGTAGCAGGATAGAGGAGGGAAAGAACGATACTCAAAGTTATACAAGTGTGGTCAGCCCCTGCAGTGTCAGGAGAGGACTTTCCATGTTGTGCTGTTTTACACAAACACAAACCCAAGTGAAACTATATGAACAAACATGATGTTTAGCAGTTTCTGTGTTTTTAGCCAAGCCTTGGCATCTACCATCGATCAATCCAACCAACCCAATCCTCTGCAGGAGCTACAACCGACCAATAAAATAGTTTTCTGTCACAGATACAAACTTCAAAAAAGGTTTGACTGGCGATGCCCCCTTTATCCATCCATCCATTTTCTTCCCTTTAATCCATTTCTGGGTCAGGGGGGTGACAGTCAGAGATGCCACCCAAGTCTCATAGCACCAGCCCCTCACTGACCCTCTGCAGGTGGTGAGTCCACAGGAGGACGGCTGCTCTCTGAGTGTGAGCATAGCCTTGATCTTTCAGTGGGGGCTTTGGGCAAAGTGGGGTTAAGTGTCTTGCCCAAGGACACAACGACAGCAGTCATCAGTGGGAGTCGGTGGAGAAGGTGCAGAGGTGGGAATTGAACCCACGACCTTCTGGCCTTAAGGCCAATGCCCCCTTTATACTACTTCTAATTGTATTTTTTCCAGTTGGATTTGGTTCAGTGCAAACTTTATTTGTGGTGGGATTTTATCAATTTCATAGTTTGTGCCTTTGGTTATTTTTGTGTATATACTTTTTTACCTTCAAGAGTTACTTGTTATTTCTCTTTCCCTGATGAGAACTTGAATTAAATATTCTTGTGGACCTTTGAACTCACAAATGGTAAAAAATAGTCAAAAGTATGTCTTAGCAGTGTATTATCATTTGATGGTGTTCTTTGCGTATTATATTTGAGAACATCTGTTTGAAAGTGACATTTCATTTTTATTATTGATTTATTTTTTACACACTTCAAATTCATAACGAGAAGAACACAAAAAACTACTATTGTTTGAAAGACTCTTACCGTCTGAGAGGAAGTATTCCACCTCTCCGTTGTTGCCCTCATCTCCGTCCTCGGCGTACAGTGTGTAGACCACAGTCCCAGCCTCTGCGTTGGTGGAAACCACGGCCAAATATGGAGAGGGCACCATCCTCCATTCAGGAACATTATCGTTCACATCAGTCACCGTCAGCTCCACACGCACCAGGTACCACTCTGGACCTGTGGGAGGAGACCACACTTCATTAGTTATGTCCACTTTTAAGTTTATAAGTAACAATAATATAAACAGTTTTTTAGAAGTGCTGCCTCTAAGTGGGAGGTAGAGTCAGTCTGGAGCACTGAAGAGACCGCCCACCTCATGTTTGGAAGCAGTGCCAGAGCGTTGCCATGCCACACACTGAAGCAGCAATTCATCGTAAATGTGGACCGAGCAAGAATGGAAGTTTCCACTATTTATGTATTGAGCAATTCATATTCTAAAAGCTGTAAAATATAGGCTTGAAATAATTCACAATAAGTAAATAATGTACTAAAGAAAGTACGATTCTACTTGAAAAAGACCCATAATGTTGTCAACATGTGTCCCACTTCATAATTATAATTAAAGCAGACTAACTCAACAAATCCATTTAACTCTATCCAAGCTCTCAAACAAAGATCAGTTTCCTGTCACTGTGAATGTGAAAGTAAAGCAAAGTAATATTTTGTGAAAGGGGGTGGACTAAATAAGTTTATACATATTTAGTCCACCCACTCCTTTTCAAACATGTGCTTAGAATATAACTTCATATTTGTCTGTACATACATGTGTGGAATAAATACATGAACTAACTAGCTTTCATGTGCATGTTTGGCTTCTGTCATAACTTCATCAACTCTTCTCTGAACCAATCAGATCTCATTATGTAAACTATAACCTTCTAAAAAGAATAAAGCAGAGAGACTAGAGATTTGGTCTGATTTAATCACACATTGTTACTTAAATAAGACTCTTTCTATCCTCTGTTGGGACAAAGCAACACTTATTTATGACACAAACAAAAACAGGTCCTGCAGCTTAAATGGACTTTTGTTAAACTAGTCAAGAGCGCCTTGGATGGTTTTTTTGCATACTATTCTTATTATTTGCCCCATATCATGCTATGCCCTCTTCATCATTACACACCATTTGCACTTCTACTTTGAGCATTGAGTGAATGTACTGTATAGTTTAATGTTTGTCCATTCAGTCTCGCTCATATTGTCCATCATTCTCCACCAGGGCAGATGCCTCCCCCGCAAGGTTCCGGTGTACACCCACAGAGCCCGCAGCAGCTTTGAGCAGTGTGCAAGACAAGAGAGAGACTCAATACAGACTTTCAACAGTCAGAGTCAAAGCTAACCAAACAAATCTGACGTCTTCTTTTCAGATGACATAAAACTTTCATTTATAAAATACCGTTAGATTACAACATGCAACTGAAGTTCACATAATATCTTCTATGTGATGTAATTAAATGTAGTAGTCTGAAGTATAACACTCTGTAAAGCAAATATCTGGAAAGCAATGAATGATGCACAAGAGTCAGCTTGAGTGGAGCACAGAAAATTGCGTTTTGAGAACAGAGATCAAGTTTTAAGGCTGTTGTTTGTTCCAAGTTGATTGCATAGCCATCTGGAAGACTTCCGGAAGACACCTGGGGAGGAACTGAAAGTTTTGGCAAATGATTGGAAATGTTGTTTTGTTAGATTGTATGCCACATACATTGAAACTTAATCAATCTTAAATCGATCTTTGATTACTTTCATCACTAAGATGCTAACCCTAACCAATCACAAATAATTCCTTAAGTATTTATGCAAAGTTTGTACTACAAGTATTTTCTTAGGTGATTATCTTTTAGAAAAAAAAAGGATAGCAAAATATTGAAATGTGTATACATTTTTTTTTACTTTAAATAGTCCAATGTACTATTCCACAATCTCCACAAAAGTCTTCACCCAATGGAAGCTGGACAATGAGTGAGGGGGCTTCTACCTTGAGGCAATCGTCTTTTTTAGCATCTGTTATCCTGATAAAAGGACCATAGCTTACATGTAGCCAAATTTGGTGATGATCAGGACACTTTAACATTCTACAACATGTATGGACATTTTCTTCTGTGTGTGCTTTATATTCTTCATGTGTTTTAACTGTTGATTCTCTGACCTGTGTTGGTGATTTCAATGGTTTTGTTAAGTCTCTAAGATGACTTCTGTTGTGACCTAGGGCTATACAAGAATAAATTGTATTGTATTGTATTGTACTTGAACTCAACAGTCAGATCCCATCAGGCCTTTGAAGCTGAGCAGTACAGGAGCTGATTAGTACTGTGATGGGAGACCTCTGGGAACAGCAGGTGTCACGGTGGCACTGCAAAGTGCCAACCTGTCGTTGTGACCTGCCTTAGGCAATTGCCAATGAATCTGGTTTGTGTGAATGGTTAGTGGGGGGTGGGGCAAATGGTACAAACAGGTTGCCTTGCTTCTGTCAGTGTGCCCCAGGGCAGCTGTAGCTACATTTGAAGTGTATCACCACTGTGTTTGGAGTGAATGAATAATGACATGTGCAGCCTCTTTGAGTGAGAAAAAAGCGCAGAAACATCACCAGTCACCACCTTCAAAAATCCTTAACACCCCAAGACCATAAGGAAGAATGTCCCCATAATCCCACCATTGCACAAAAACAGTTTGGATCTGGCTAACTCTACATGGAAAACAAATCTATGTAGTATTAAGTAAGTCTTATGTACAACATTCCTATGATTTGTAAATGCTGCAGGGATTTTAGCCTTGTGTTTACCATCGAGAAATACAAAGAAACAGATCACGTTTTCTGTGGGAGACCATGCAAGTGACAAACTCCAAAATCTTTCAAAACATTTTCAAAAAAAAAAATATAGAAGAGAAGAATGATTACATATCCTAATGAAATGGTAGCTCTACAAAACAAAATTTCATTGCAATATGGCTTTCCAGTGTCGTACCTGTAATCAACATAACATTAGCACCTGATGTCATTTGAAACACGATCCTTCAAACTAATACATGGGGTAAATGTAGGTTATACCATAATTCATGTCTCATTTGCATTCTTAACATACACAACAAAACATCATTAGGCAAAAAGAAGAAACAAGGTCAACACCTTCTTTATTATGCATATGACAAGTATCGTGTGTTGCTGTTTAAGCCGACATGAACAGAATCAGCAGTGTGCTTGGTGCTCCTGGAGACACACCAGTAATTACAATCAGAAGAGCCACTATCTGCAGAGAAGAAAACACCAATCACGTCGACTATCAGAGGGACCCACCCCTACGACAACAAGAAACACAAGGGAATCAGCCTCACGCATTCTAACAGCTGAGTAGTGCAATACCCAGCAACCCTGACTCCAGCCTCCCTCAAAATACAAAGTAGTAACTCTCAATCGCAATTTTTTTTTTTTTTTTAATAGAATTTGACCTTTTGGTTGGTTTGTCAATCGAATGGGCTAATTAGGAAATCTTGTGAGACATCTAATGAGCCTAATGTTTCGATTATGTTTTCTTTTTTAAAGCCTCCGCTCCGCCATTTGCACTTTTGGTCACACTTTATCCAATATAGTCATTTTATACCTCACTTTAAAGCTCAGAATCAGCAGAAGACACAGCAGCCATTGGGAGCCTAAACACAAAAGTTCACAATGTTTTGTCTAGATGTATTCACTGCACGGAGAGGCCCCTATGAATTACAAGCACTTAATTGCAAGTAATACATTGGAAGTAAGCAATGTATATCTTACTTCCAATGTATCTGCTTTGTCTTAAGTGTTTCTGGTTGATCAAAGAACAGTTATTTTCTTCCTTTAGATTTACTGTTTATGACATACTGTATATGCTCCTTTATGGAAAATAGAAAAAAAGCAGATACATCAGCTGATCATGTAGGTTTAGAGTTTTTAGATGCAGGGTGGTCTGTTAGAGTCTTGTGAGGTCTAACTAAAACTCCAAGACACTTTATCAACATTTAAATGAATGTGTATGCACCGCCCCCCAACTCGCTCAGATGCTTCTCATTTCCCCTACGCTCTCCTCCCACAAAGCCATCTTGTATTTACGATCTGATACGTATGCAAACAGTAGCATTAGCGCAACTTCTTGTAAGGTGTACAACAATCACTGATGAAATGGTACAGAAGCAACGCACTGCTGACAAAATATATAACTGAAAGATTACCGCTAATTTTTGGTCCGAATGTAGTCCGAGCATAGATAGTCCGAGGCGGTCCCCTATGTTCACCCGGGCTTGATTTCTTTTTTGATCATTTTTTCGCTTTAGTTCCCTCTTCTTTTCCTCACGGTTGTGTCGTTTGGACTGTTTTGCTGTATCTGCAGTTACAGCAAGAGGAGCCAATTCTGCTAACAGCCTGTTCGTAACAGCGCCGCTCCTCGTTCTGTGATTGGAGAAGAGCAAGCGTCACGCTAAGTCTCTACTCAGCACGTTTTACGGCCTGAATTCATACACAGCTGAATCAATGAGCTCAAGTTTTCAATTAAATTACGGATTATAATACAGCTTGTATGAAGTAATACGCGTTTTTATAAACTCATTAAAAAAATCGGTACGGCTTCTTTAAGGACCAATACAAATGTGTTTTCTGTTCTATTTCTTGTGTTTGAACTGTTTGATTCTCTGATCCCAAATTTTAAGTAATTAAGTAAGCAACCAGGGCCCCTCACAGAGATTGACTCCTTAAAACAATGTATAAAAAGTAGTGCAAAGTTATTCATATACCTTGCCTGTTGGTTGTTACTCACGTCACCATGACTGCAAAACTCATATTGTCAAGTGTGGAAAATGATAAGGAAGAAATGTGTCTCAAAATCACAGCGTTTAACTGAACACTTTTGGACAAGAAAAGACAAGCAGATTGACCAATACATAGTCCAACACAGGATTTCTCACTTGGCGGGCTGACTGTTCTATTCTTCTAATTTCAAAAGAACAAAATCTTTTAATGACTGATATAGTTTCAAATTCTAATTGCTGAATCTGGTGAATCAAAATGAACTGGAAATAAATCAAGCAATCCAGTTATTCAAACACAGAAAACACAAGTACTTTTCAAATCTGGAGAGACTTTGAGAGACGAGATGCGTTTCAAAGATGTATTGATTGCGAGTTTTGTTTGTAGTTCATTGGTTTGGCTTTGTGTAGGATCTGTGCTTGAGTGCAGATCATGATCCTCCAGGGCCTAGACACTGGTGGTGGCAACAGGGCATGGAAGATGAGAGCGTGCGATGAAATCCTTGGGTGGAAGGTGGAAGGAGGTAGTTGTGGCTTGATCGGCTGTTTCGCGAGTGGGGTCCTTCTTTTAAGCGCTGGCTGGCAGGAGTTGAAGCTGACTTGATGGAGCTGAGGAAGGAGTGGACCAGCCTTGTGTGATGACCATCGACTGTAAATATTAACGGGCATAGTCACGCCTATCTCCGCCGTTGAAACTAATGTGCCATCACGTTTGTCTTCTATGGGGATTTTTCATAATGGCATTGCACACCTGCCCTATTCATTGAACGAGTGCCTTCTGAAGTCCACAGCAGCTAAACTTGAGGAGACCAAAATATTATACTCCAATCAACTTTGACACACATCTTGAATGCAGCTTTGGGACGAGAGCCAACTCTTGTAAAGTCGTTTTCGAGAGGAAAGAAGACGCCAGACAAAAGCATTGGATAATTCTCTTTCTGTGTCCACCCCCGCTGGCCTGGAGTGAGATTGCAAGTATGTCAGCGCACGTGCTCATAGATGTTTTTGACCCGGGACCCGCCCCCACTGGCGATGACGTAGGTAGTCTATCAGTTTGAACTTCCGCTTAAGCTTATTTTTTGTAATCTACTTCAGAAGGCGCATACGTATTGAGGATCTCCAACAAGGCCAGTTTCTTGTCAAGTCAAAAGTTGAAAGCTACTACTAACCATCCCTTATCCATTCATTCATTTTCTTCCCCTTAATCCATTTCTGGGTCGGGGGGGGGGGGCAGTCAGAGCTGCACCCGGTACACAGAGCCCCTCACTGCTCCTCTTGCTGGTGGTGAATCCACAGGAGCTGAGATCTTTCAGCTGGGGCTTCGGGCAAAGTGGGGTTAAGTGTCTTGCCCAAGGACACAACGAAAGCAGTCATCAGTGGGAGTCGTGAAGTAGGTCTTATGGTGGGCTCGAACCCACGACCTTCAGGCTCAAAGGGAGATGCTCTACTGTCGCCCCCTAACCACTCTCCCATGATGTAAATGGACAGTGAAGGAATACAAGGACATTTACAATTGTGAGAAATGACCCACTGGTTATTGAATAAGAAATAGCTTGACCCAAGGTCAAAGCGGGATGCAGGGAGAAAATCTATAATATTCTAGAATCAGACAAAGACTATAAAGACCACCAATAATTTGCATTTCCCAAGATAAACATTGCACTGGAGATGTAGGTTTCTGTTGCCCATAGTTCACTTTTTTTCCACTTCCCCCTCTGGTCATAACAGATTCCGAATTAATTGGCAAAAGGGCAAGGCCGCTTTGGGGAGGAAGGGACGGCATTAGCTTGATAATAAATCATGGGGCCAATACAAAGAGCCCCACAACCCAAAAAATCCGACCCGTGCACACACAAACGTCTCACTAATAACGATCATCACTGGATTAGCGGCTAATGAAAGACCATAGGGGCTGCGGTGTTCCATGCCGCTGTCATTCCTCACGCAAATGCAATGCTGATTCTAATGATATGTCGCAATCCCTGGAAACACAGGGACCAGCAATTACTAACAGGCCCGCAGAAGGCATTTCCGCAGCTACTGACCTTATTTGCTCCACTAGGTTGCAATTCAGGGCTTTACAATGTGCGCAATGTGCTCTATTTCACCCTCCCAAAAAGTGCTTTCTTGTTATCTTGTTTGCAGTGTGTGTAAGCGGGCGGGGGGAAGAGTGCACGGTGGGTATTCTACAAATGCTGGTATAGTGAAAATGGTGTTGTATTTGCCTGTATGAGATGTGTAGGAGATTTTGAGTGTCGATTCTAATTATGAGGTTTTTGAGGCTTTAAGGTCTTACAAATCAGCACCATTCTGATGACAAGCACTGGTTTATTAATGTGTTGGAAGAGTTTATCCAAATGATTAAGCAAGGCACCGGGAGATACAAAAAATAAATAGATAAATACAAATATACAGGTGAAAATGATTTTAACTTGAAATTCAACTTACAATGTTAAACTAATAAACGGTAGGCTCAATACATGCAAAGTGAGATATATTAACCCTTGTGCAATGAAACCAAAACCATACATTTTAAGTTGATCAACATTATATTTTGAAATACATTTTTATAGTCCAAGTTTCACCTGTGTAGTAACAGTCGCAGAACTAAACCATTTGTCATAAAAGCCTGTGGGATGTGGACTTCAAGCCTGGTCTTTTTTACGGTATATTCTCCCTTTCATATAGTTAAGTTGGTTTATTAATGTAATCACAATGATGTGGTTTGAATAGTTTAGTGAAGAACAAGGAATCATTTATTAGATTGTATTGATAAAAAATGAGAACAAATTATATAATAATTAAAACTGATATTGTGTATACAAGATGCCTTTTTTAATAATTCAAATACATATACAATTTATCACACACACAGGCAAATAATTTTTATTTTATTTTTATTTTAACTGATTTTATTTAAAGCTGGCAGACTTATGAATATTTTAATGTGTTAATTTTATGAGTGCAGAACTTGTTTAAACGTGTTTAATAACTTGTGCTTAATAAATAAAGTGGATTGAATTGGATACAGACAGAAAGTAACCCATGCGCTCCTCTCCCTGTTGTTCCATACTGACTCTTGCAGTTGGATAGTTTTGGCATTAGAAACAGTTCTGCTTCCTCCAGACAGAGCACTGTGCAGGTGACTCACTCCTCCGGTGTCAGGGGGCTTGTCTGCGCCCAGAAAAGTTTTGTGCCGTTTTGTTGTTGGCATCTGAGGCTGGATTCGA